AGGAAAAAGAGAAGCCAAACACTTAATTAGTAAAATTCATTTAAAAGCTACATGGAGAATTTTGTGCCCAATAAACACTGTTTTCAAAAAGCACATGGAGCATTACAAAAAGGAACCATATGGCACAGAAAACCTAAAAAAATTCACAAAAGCAAAAGTTGTCTAAGTTACCACATATTGTGGTCCGAGAGCAGGAGTAAAAAGATGACAAAACAAAACCACAGCAGTGGAAGTCACTGGTCTAAAAAATGAGTAGCAATGAGAATACCAGGTGTCAAAATCTGCAACCTTAACCCAGAGCATTGGGTCTCCCCTTCCTACACTGACAAATGTTTTAAAAAATGAGTCCCTCAAAAAGGTGCTGACTTCATCAGTGTTATGGGTTGAATTGTGTCCCTCCAAAATTTGTATATTGAAGCCCTAATGCCCAGTACAGTACCTGAGGATGTGACTATTTGGATACAGGGCCTTTAAAGAGGTTAGTAAGTTAAATGAGGTCATTAGGGTGGGCCCTGATCCAACATGACTGGTGTGCTTATAAGAAGAAGGAGAGACAGCAGGGATGTGCACACACAGGAAAGGCCATGAGAGGGCGCAGAGAGAAGGCAGCCACCTACAGGTCAAGGAGAGAGTCCTCTGAAGAGACCAACCCTGCCAACACCTCATCTCAGACTTCCCGCCTCCAGGACTGTGAGAAAATGAATTTCTATCATTTAAGCCACCCAGTCAGTGATACTCCATTACAGCAGCCCTGGCAGCTACTGGAGAAAGAATTTCACCCAACGCCATGCCGTTAAAGAAGTGGAGGCCAAAGAGAAAACCAGGAAATTCTGCAGGGACTGTCCCATCACCCCCATTCCCCTATCCCAGAAACTGTACTGGTGACTCCAGAAAATTCTTCCTCATGCCAAAATGTGCAGAGAAGTGATCCGAGCACACAGCCTCATCTTCTCCCCTTTTTGCACCGGGCTGGGAGGGATGAGTGAAATGGGAGATGAAAACACCTGGGGCTGACTCTGACAGAGGAATAGGCTCCAGGCATCAGAATGAGGGGACGAAAACCTTCATGTAGGACAGCCAACAAAATCTCAGAAGACAGAGTGGAGCACCCAGGGGACAACGACCAAACACTGCATTAACTGGAACCTGCTGGGCAGCGCCCCCTCCCTGCACTCTCGAGTTAGCTAGCTGCACGGAGAGTGCCGTGAGGATTTGTGCTTTTGCTGAACTGCTATCTTTCAGGGAGCAGGGGCTGGCACAGCTGCCTGTCACTCCTGGAGCTAGCACAGTCCCGTGGAAACACGCACTCTGAAGTCAGATTGTCTGGGTTCAAATCGCAGTTGCACAATTTATTGGCTATGTGATCCTGTGTTAGTTACTCAGCCTCCCTAGGCCTCAGTTTCCCTATCTGTAAAACGGTTGTTATAAGGATTAAAGAAGAGTTAGCATAAGGGGCTTAGAATAGCCTAGTACATAGCAGGCATCATTAAGTGCTAGCTTTTGTTAGTTACCAATGACCTTCGCCCAAGGAGCCACCCCATTAGGCTAGCTCATGGGAAGGTATGCGGGGGTGGTACCCTGAAAACTGTCACCACCCATGAAGCCATGCACACCATAAGCTAGACCACATTTGCTACTGCAAAGAAGCTTCAATGCCAGTATCTCCCTCTATGAGGGACAATGATGTGTCTACTTACTAAGGGCACTGTAGTCCTTCATGCTGAAGTTCCACATCTTGGTATCAGGATCTGAAATAAAACAGAGGGCTGATGATCATTGTTATAATTTGTACTTGGGTACTCAATAAAAGCTTGTCTTCCATATGAATGAATGAATGGATGCCAAGTTCCAAATAGCTGATTGGCAAGCCCCCACTGATTTCACAAAATCTCTGTAAAGGACAAATAGCAAATGCAGAAAATTCTTTTATTCCATATAGTGGAGCTCAATTCAGATCCTGAGAAGTTATGGACTTCATCTAAGAGGGCTGAGGGCAGAGTTAGGACTAGAATCCATGTTCTCTTGATCCTAGTGTAGTCAGACAAAGAGGTCTCAGGAGCGTTGGCTCTGAGAACCAGTCACACCCTGACCCCGCCTTTCCAGACCAATCGAACTGAGTATGTCACTTCCCCTTGCTGAGCCAGTTCCACTGCCTTAAAAATTGAAATAACATCTACTTATTTCAAAAAACTGTTGTTAGGCTTAAGTGCTACCATGCATATAAAGCACCTGGCAGAGGAACTGGCTTCTCAGTAAATATTCCACTGTTCTCCATATGGCCATGTGGCAACCCTCAAGTTTGGCAGCTGTCTGAGGGAACAACTATTATAAAGGGAAACACAAGCTAAAATGGAAAATTTTTAAACAACTGGATGGACAGAATGTGCCAATGCATTCTCTTGATATTCATGAGAAACTGTTAGATTAAAAAGAGACTTTATTTCAACCACAATAGAGTCCAGAAAAAGAGAGAGAGAGAGACTCTAAAAATAATAAAAAAAAAAACCAAACCACCTAAAGAACAAAAGACTGATTACCATAACTTCTGCTGGGCAGACTCTTAAACACTGCAACGAGTTCCGCATTGTACCCTATCTTCACGTGGAACCGATCTCCTTTCCTTATGCATGTTCCCTTCTGGGAGATTCCTGCTTTTTGGAGTGAGGATTCAAATATCGGTTGAAGTCCTCCTTCTGTCCTGGACGTTACACTCCCTGAGCCACAAGGGACGTCAGAAATGTTTTGCCTCACGGTAGCAAAAGGTGTCGATCTCCTCTCACGTGAAGACTGAGGATGATCTTGACCTAACTCATAACCCAAGAGCTGCGGGTTTGGGACCTCTGGAGGACTTTGTGCCAAGGGAAGGGAGATTCCGGTGAAAGTCACTTGAGTTGGTGGGCTGTGGCTTGGGCAAGCTGTGGACATTTCTTCTTGCCTCTTCCATGTCCCTTTTGCCTGCTCTGGTAGGCTGAGATGAAAACTGTGGGAATTATGAGGTCTTTGGTCACCGTGAGATGAACTACTGAGATTCTGTTGCTTGACAATGACACCATGGCTCACTGGCTTAGAAGGCTCCCTCGGGAGATTTTGGCAAGGAACCTGCTTGGACTGGGAAGGGTTGGCAGCAATGGAGGAGCCCGAGCCTGTGCTCTGATGCTGTTCTGCTAACAACTTCTCTGCTCTACGGGCCAGAGCCTTCTGTCGATTCTCTTCAATCTTTTTCCTCTGCTCCTCTGTAAGAGGCAAGGACATTTTAACAAGGAAATGCTTACGCAGGAATGTCAACCTTTAATCGGAAAGTTGGCAAAAGCTGTGGAAGAAAAAAAGAAGATGGAAACAAATTCATAAGGCGTACAACCACAGGATATATTAAAGTTTCTTTTATAGTCAAAAAGGTGCACACACACAGGGACAGCAGGTAACGTGCTAAAATAATGATCCTAATGAAAAAGCAAATCCAAAGCTAAAAAGGTATTTCAGGAGCAGTATTTTTCTCCTTCCCATCCCCCAGCCAAGGTGACTTCTCAGATCCCAAGAAAGTTAGGCAGTGCAACTTAAATTCATCAGATAATAAGAACGGTGACATTTTAAACTAGAAAGGATAATGGATTACACTGAAATAGACCAACCAACCACATACCATGGCATGACACTTGCTAAAACAGCTTCTTTCCAACCTGGAAAAAGAAAAAAGTATTAGCCTCACATAGACTGCACACTAAATTCCCCCCTTGCATTCAATACTGTTATCGTTCCTGGCAAATCAATCTGCATGTGGCCCCCCCAGTGCAAGCCAGAGCAGCAGGCCTTAGTACTTGACTTCCAAAACACAACACTACAGAGAAACTAAGTGATTCTTGGAAAACTAAGGAGAAACAAAGCAATATAAGCTCACTGTACAAATTCAGATGCTACATAAACATATAAAAAGAAAAGAATAAAATTAATCTGTAATCTCACCAGCCATCAAAAACCACTGTTTACAGGGTACATTTATAGTTATAATTTTTTTTCTATCCATAACCACGTGCCACAAATTTAGGAGATACAGGTATTTATTATAAACATAGGGTCACTGTATACATTCTGTTTTATACTCTGGTTATTTTTTTTTTTCAATGAATTTACCCTGAAGATTTTCCTGTGTTGAGCCACTTTTAGAATATTCTAGAGCCAGGGGGTGGGACACCAATTTCTCTGGCTTGGGTCAGACTAAACAGTCTCCACCCAAGGTGATGCCGTGTGATGCTTATAAATGATGTCCAGGAGCACTGTTTAGGCCTCTAAGAGGAGCTCTACAGTTCAAAATTTCTCTCCCCGCTGGGGCTCCTATTGGCCAGACCCTCCCCTCACCACCCCCATTTACCCTAGGAGACTTTCCACCTCCTCCAACCACCAGCAGTTAGGAAGGGGTTAGGGAAAGGTTTTGTTTCCCAAGCACAGCAGACGTCCTCAATCTCCCTGGGTAACACACTCCTGCCAAAGTTTCCGATAAGGGCTCTCCTGCACCCCCAAACTCCCCAGGTCCGAGGCCTGGTGCGCTGTCTCCACTACCAGAGGAGATAAGGCCATAGAGTGAGGAAAACCCACTGATCAGCCCCCAACCACAAAGCCATCCCACCACATGGACGCCCATCTTCCCCCGCTTGCTCGGACCTCTGCTCAACCCCATTTCGGGGCGAGCCTCACGCCGGCCCCAAGATAAGGGGCACCACGCCCCACTCCCTCCCCTATTATTCCTTAGCCCACTCCCTGCTCCAGGCTGGCATTTGGTCTCGTCCGCCTACACTGTCTTCCTTCTAGTCTGCCTTCTCACCCGGTGAGGCCTAGAATGCAAGCCGCATTCGCAGCCGACCCCGAACCCACGCGCGTCTCCAGAGCCCTCCCAAGCCAGATTACTCTTCCAGGTGGACGGTTAGGGGATCGGGTATTCAAGCGCCGCCAGTTTGCCCGCCTTCCTGTGGCGCTCGGGCCTGGTGGGCTGCCTGGTCCACCACTGAACTACACTTCCCAGCGGGCAACGCGGCCGCAGTTTTGCTTCAAAAAGCGGGAGTGATGTGACGGGGAGCGGGAGCCCTGCCGCATCGTCTTCTGGGATTTGACGTTTGGAACGGGAGCCGGGCGAGCATTAGGGGAGACGCAACGTCGTAGGCGGGGCGGGAGGGATGCACCCTGGGAGTTTTAGTCCTTGGTTTCCCCGAAGGTTTAGCTAAGTGCCGGATCTTGAAAGCATGAGACATTGAAGTTTCCAAAACCGGAGACTCACTGTCAGAGCTGTCTCCGGAGCATCCTAGGCAGCCAGACTGACTTGATAGCTCTTAGTAAAATGTCTCCCCCGGGCCATCCATTGCTGGTATTGTGCTTGCAATCTAAGCCCCACCTGCTGCCCCAATCCTCCACCCCCATTGTCGTCATCAGTCGTTGCGCTGAGCGTTAATGCGAATTGTCTCTTTTAATCCTTACTACAACCCGAGGGTCACATATTGTTTTTATCTCCCATTTTACAGATGGGAAAACTGAGACAGAGCTATTTGATAATAACTTTTCAAGGCTTTATTAGGCTAGTTTGTGATTCTGATTCCATAGCCCCCGCTCTTGAGAGAAAATTAGTAGTCTGGCACTTTCAGAGTCGGTTTACCCCATTTTTGAGCACCAACACCCTTTCCCCTACACAATTAACTCCACTATTACATATTGGTGGCAGATATAATGTCTCTCTTTCATCAACGTACACGTGAATGTTGCCATTATTCAATTTTCAAAGGTGGCTCATTTAAGAACAGTAGATGTCTACTAATATTTGGAAAAATAAGACATTAAGAAAAAGGAAGTGCAGCAATCTGTGTAGTTTGATCCGTTTTTTAAAAAAGAAATTCTCCCCTATAAATGCATGTAAACTCAGAAAAAGGTCTGGGAGGGAAACTTGAAAACTCAACCAAACTGTTCAGGAGCAGAGTAGGGTGAAATACACTTTTCAACTTTTTAATCTATATTATTCGGAATCATTTGAATTTTCTTATTATAATTATATAGAACTTGTGTAACTTTGGAAACAATCATGTTTTTAAGTGACGAAGACATTGGTCTGTCTTACAGGACTTGAGTGAGGTTTAGCAGTAGAAAGTTTTCAAATCTCAGCTCTTCCCCTTTTATTGGCCCTGTAAATACAGTGACCGTGCCTCCATTTTCCCATCTGTAAAGATAGAAAACAACACCACCTTGGTAAATCTCCACGTCAGTAGGATCAAAGCATATGGTGGGAAGTGGTTGGTGAACTGTGCAATCCTAGAACAGGTAAGAGAAGGGTGTCTCTGCTATTTGAGGTAAATCTGAGACAGCACAGAAAATCTTAGGTCTTGTATTTCTCTATACCCAGGCCTCATTTCCTACAATATGGTGTAAACAGAAAATGATTAATGAACACCTGTCTCTACTTTTCCTGTCCCCCAACAAAGTCAGTTAATTTGCTAAGAAATCTGGGTACTGTGCACTTCACCCCTGTCAATCAGGATTCATGTGACTATCACTTTACTCTCCTGGACCTGAGTCATCTCACCTATAAAATAATATCCTGCTGTGATGTACACTAAGAGGGCATGTGGAGCAGTGGACCCTAATCTTGGATCCTAGAATTTTATAGACTTGTGGATATTACCCCCCAAGAAATCCCAATTGCGTAAGCCTGGAATTGGACAAGAAGATATTATTACCTTTCCAGCTCTAACATTCTAAAACCCTAAGAATAGGAAATTAAAATAAGGATTCAGTGGAAAAAAATCATCTTCAGAAAGTAAGCTAATCAGTTCCTACTCAGTAGTCACATCTTTTGCTTTGTCAACAACATCATTTATTGAGGCCTTACACAAGGCTTTTTAAAAAATTTCTGTATTTCAGAAGTTCTTAAGGAAGCTTTTAATGAAAATTCATTCATTAAAAAAGTTTTAAAGCCTGGAAGAAAGCACAGGAGTCAAGGAATGAAAGAAGAGGAGAGGACAGTTGTAGCAGTCAAGCTCCAATTTAACTCTGAGCTTCCTAGCAGCTAAAGTGAAAAAGTCAAGAAGTCTTTTAAGACCTTCAACTAAACACAGCACAGCTGAAGCTCCCAAACACCAGTCAGCTGGGCAGTGCCAAACTGGTCTGAAGCTTCATCTGGTTGCCTTAGAAACAAACAAAAGGACAATGTAATGAACATTTTGTAAAGCTAAATTTTTATAATTAAAGTGATGATTATAAATGACTTTATTTGGCAAAATGAAAAGTTGCTTTTCCCCTCCAAAAAAGTCCAATAATGTTTAGTCTGTGAAATCCAAAAAGCTGGCAGACACTGTAGTAAGGCAGTAGTTCCCAATCTTTTTGGCACCAGGGACAGTTTTCATGGAAGACAATTTTTCCATGGACTGGAGGAGGGGGCATGATGAGCCATGAGGAGTGGCTGTAAATACAGATGAAGCTGTGTGGCTGGGTTCCTAACAGGCCACAACGGGTACTGGTCCGTGGCCCCAGGATTGGGAACTGCGGTTGTAAGGTGATCCAGAGAGGAGTAAAGTCTAGTTTCTCTCCTTGTAAAAAGTTACAGTATTTATAAAAGACAAATAGCTAGAATTGCCAGATTTAGCAGATGTCCCAAATATTGCATGGGACATACTTATACTAAAAAAGGATTCATTGTTTATCTGAAATTCAAATTTAACTGGGTGTCCTGTATTTTATTTGACAACCTCCTATTATCAGTGACTCAGGACTTAGTTGAGCAGCAAACAAATATATATTGATAGATGACTCACAGATATATTGATACATGGAGTTTTAAAGCTAAAAGGAGCTTTAGAGACCATCTGGTTTCACAGGTGAGGGAAGGGAGGCCAGATCAGCTGCTCCTCCATATGGCACCTGTGAGAGAGAGAGCGAGCGAGAGAGCGAGAGTTCTCCGTTGTCTCTTCTGATAGGTCACCAATCCTATCAGAACCCCACCCTTATGACCTCATTTAATCTTAATTACCTCCCTGTGTGCCCTGTCTCCAAACACAGTCACAGTGGGGTTTAGGGCTTCAATACATGAATTAGGCGGGCACAGTTCAGTCCACCTAGAACCTTCGTGTGCTGTAAAAACACCCGCTCCCAGCAGACTTGCCCCCAGACTCGCTGCAAGCAGAGCACTACCAGACCCCAGCAGGTTGCCCTGGACAAATGGGAGTGGCAGTCTCGATGCCACCCCAGGGGAATGATGTGCTTTCACTAAAGCTGCTTCCTTAGGTGGAAGGACATCTATTTTCCCTCTCTTTTTGGAGTAACTATCCCCGCTCCGTTTTACGCAGTCCTGGGAGAGTGTTAACCAAGGGGCTCTACCCGCTGGCAAAGCAGTGGGTGCAGGATACAAGTGGACACAAGCAGACTCTCCTTCTGGGAATTTAATCTTGAGGGATATGATACAAGGCGGGGGAAACAACTGAACTGATGTCGCAGTGGCTTTGAGTGGAGAGCGTCCCTTAGTTCCTGTCACCGGCCTTCCAGAGCTGCCCTGACCCAGTTATTCCTGAGCCCTGATCCTGCTGTCCTGTGACTGCCCTTAGCCTTCTAGTGAATTCTTTATTTGGAGAGTGGGAGGTGGGGAGCATAATTTAACTAAAGTCAGTCTCTGTTGCTTGCATCCAAAGAACGTGATTTCTAACTCTCAAGTCAGAGTTTTTTCCTCCCTCTTTCCCTTTCTTCCTTCATTCTTTCCTTCCTTCCTCCTTGGAATATGCTAAACTCAGGCACAAAAGGGTAGTGTTTACAAAAGGATCCAAATGGTGTGAATTCGTCATTCTCAGCTTCAACCAAGTCCCTTGGGATTCCACAGCGTCATCGCTAGGTTATCTTGGACTCTGGGTCCCTTGAGGACAGGGGCTGCATCTAAGACATATTTCTTCCAGTCTATAACTCTTAATTCTCCGCCTTGTGTACTGTGGGCTCCTCAAAGTGTAATAGCCACGTTATGAATACTTTTCCAGAGAATCTCTCTCATTGCCGTTTCTTGATTCATAAAGTGAAATTTGGAAGGGACCTTAGGGAGCATTAATCTCCCCCGTTTAGAGCTGAAGAAACGGGAGCCCAGAGGCATTAGCTGTGCCTGATGTCGCAGAGCAGGCAGAGGCTAGGCTGGAGTGGGAAACCTCAGTCCCATAGTAGGGCTCTTTCCGGACGTTAATTAAATGTACAAATGGTGATTGCATGCTCACCCTTGCCTGGCAGCGTGTCTGGACGCCTAAAGCAGTTTAAAGTCCCCCTCTCTGGAGCTTACCTCCTGCTGATGTAAGTGCTGGGCTTCCCTCTCCCTTTGCTGATTCCCTAGAGAGGGCCTGACAGCCCTTTAGGGAGGAGTTTTTTGACAGCCACTTCAAGGGCATGTCATTGGCTCAGGTTAATTACACCTAGAGCGCTGTGATAAGATTCCAGAGCAGATGCCAGACTTTGGGTGGATAAGGAGGCTGTTCCCTCCTCAGACGCTGCCAGTTGGCAAACACATTTGCATATCCAAAGCACAGAGGAGCAATGTGAAGGTTTATAAGCCAAGAAATTCACCTTCTTTAGCGGTTGTTCCGTTCTGATGGACTTAATTGCTCAGAGTCTGACAGTTCAGTTTTTCTCCCTCCTGTCTGCCTCCCCCAAACCCCTCCCCCCAAACTCCAAACGTCTTATAAAGACAGAACATCCAGGATAATTTCTGCACCATGCATTCCATGGTTTGGTATGTGGGTTCTCCAAGTGTCTTAATTTCTCTAGCTGTTTGGTCTTGGTAGCTGTGATTACTTCACAAGCTTCTCTCGAACCTGGCACATTTTCTGCTGGGATGGCTTGGTACGTCCTTTGCCAAAAGCATCCCCCTCAACACCCTGCTCCAGTTTTCTTACATTTGTACAATTTCACTTTTTCTATTCCTCCAATGTCATAAATTCCACTTCATTCATCCGTTCATTCTTGTTTTTTTTTTTTTCTTTTGAGACGGGATGTCTCTCTGTCACCCAGCCTGGAGTGCAGTGGCGTCATTATAGTTCACTGCA